AATCAGAGATTCAATAACAGGAAAAAAGAAATAAATAAGAACCAATCCCTTGATCTATACTATTAAGGATATAAAACAGAGATCACTAAGTTAAGATAACACAAAAAGGCAATCACTAATAATCAAGGTGTGTGGGAAAAATAAAAGGCAGTTCTCCTCTTTTTTCTTTTTTACTTTTTTTCACAAATTCAATTAATACTATCACGAAACTGAAAGTCACTAGCTCATCTACCAATGACAAACAAATTTCCCCGTTTGGTTTCTGAGAAAAGGTCAGTAACCGAAAAGAAAGCAGAAGCCAAACCTTATAATAGTAACAGATGGGAAAAAAAAAGGAAAAAGGCAATCAATTATCAATCCTTACCACTGTCAAGTGTGCATATATAACAAAAAACTTTTGTTTCTCAGTTGTGCGAATTTTTCATTTTCAAACAACAAATAAACACTCAACAATCAAATTTTACTTTCCCTTTATTTTCAAAAACTATCTAAGTAGTTATTCTAAATTCTTATAGAGTTTCAAGAAAAACCTTAACTTACAGATCAGTTTGAAGTAACTCCACATTTCTGTAACCGAATCATTTCTACTTTAGAACACAGCTTTCAAATACCAAACTCCCATTTGGCAAACAACAAAACCACTTTGATCAGATCAGGAAAGCAAAGACAAAAGAAAAGCCTAAAGCACGCAACTTAACATGGAAACTTGAGACCGAAAAAGCCCAAATTCACAACATAAAAACTATGAGAAAGCAGCTAAGTTTGAACTAATAAAACAGAACCCACTTCACCTTTCAAAAAAAACCCCCTCGGGAAAACGTCAAATTCTGCTTTCCACCCCCAAATTTCTGCAGCTTTTATGCCTTGAATTGACGCGGAGCACGAGACAAAGCAACTGGTATTTACCCAAAAGGAGCAAATGAGGAAGAAAGAGAGAGTGAGACCAGAGCAAGGGATCTCAGCATCGTTTTCCCGGCATTGCAAGCTATTGCTCACCACACGAGACAGAATATATCCTCCTCTTTTCTTCCTTTTGTTTTCTTCTATCTCACCATAATTACAGGATCATTCACAAAAAAAAAAAAAACAAAAAAATCAAAATTTCATCTCCATTTTTTCTCTCACTCTTCAAGGCAACCGATTCAGACTCTCAGACCTCGACAACTCAGAATTCCGACGACAATCAGAGCGATTCACCGGCAAGATAATCCTCTCGCCGGCCGCCGCCGCATTTGATTGTCTCGAGGTAATTTAAATAATACTTTGTAAAAGTAAAATTGTTAATTTTGGAGTTATTAAATTTAAATAATAATTAAAAGAATATTTAATTTAATAAAAAAAATTAATTTTAAATGTATAATATTTTAAAATATATAAATAATATATTTAAAAATATATATATTTGAAAATTATTTTTCTTTATTAAGGGTTCATATAGCAATTGTGAGACAGTGATTAGTGATTTTATTTAAATTGATAAATGTAAGTTTTTTACAAATTTAAATATTTTAAAATTACTATAAATAAAGTATATAATAAAATTTTTTATTTAACGATTTGAAATTAACAGATAACGGTTAAGATTTATACTATTAATGGATTAAAAAAATTAATTTAAGTAACTTTTTATATCAAAATGGCAATAGATTGGAATTTTTTAATTTTACCAATAAATTTATCTTTTTTAATTTTCTTAATTTTTTAATTTACAGTTTTTAATTAATATTTATTTAATAAATTTCAATCTTGTTATTTACATTTAATAACATTAAGTGACTATAATATTTTTATTTTTTACATTAATTTATTATTAAAAAAATATATTATCTTAAAAAATAAAAT